TTTTCCCCCCATTTCTTGGAACTCCTCATTCCTTATACTATATCAATGTTTTTCTAACTATTTTTAAACTTCAACCCACAGTAAGAAATACATTTTCCAACAGGACCCACTGTGAACATGACACGTGCACACACACAAATACACGTCTAGTAGGTCCATGTTTGAAACAAAAGGGTTCTACTTAGGTGTTTTTAAATGTCACAAATCACAGAGTTGAGTACATGGCTGCCTCTAATGCTATTCAGCCCACAATTAGAGAAATCTTGTGCTACAGCCACCAGAGTTGAAATGACTTTGGAAGTGGCCTGACACTTGGCAGCCAAGACCCTAGGTCTAAGGTGGTGATTCCCAACTGGGGATTTTGTCCCTCAGAGGAGATGTGGCAATGTCTGGAAATGTTTGTGATTGTCACACAAGAGGTACCTGGGAGGGCAGAAATGCTCCTCAGCATTTGATAATGCTCAGGACAGCCCTTCACATCAAGGAATTAGCCCAAAATGTCAGTAGTGCCAGAGTTGGAAAACCTGGCTCTGAAGGTAATTGAAATGAGCTAACATTCAATTATAGATCTGTTTACAGTGATAGAAGCTTTAACCTGATCTTCTTTCACTGTTTTTCTTTGAACTATATTTGTTACATTAAGGAGTTGGAGTGTAATCACCCTTGGATTGTCTACAGAGATAGCCCAGTGGGAAAAAAGGGTACAAAGAGTGATTCTGTTGTTTCTTTCATTTAGACTGTACCCAGGCATTTTTTGTTAGAATATTATTACTGCTGTTAAGAATATTTTCTCTTTCTTTAATGTTTATGTATTTATTTTTGAGAGAGAGGGAGAAAGAGAGGGAGAGAAAGAACAGAAGCCGGGGAGGGGCAGAGAGCTAGAGCGAGAGGGAGATGAAGAATCCAAAGCAGTCTCCAAGTTCTCAGCACAGAGCCCAGATCAGGGCTTGAACTCACAAACCATGAGATAGTGATCGGAACTGAAGTCAGACGCTTAACCAACTGAGCCACCCAGGCGCCCCAACAATATTTTCTACCTGATGACTTCACTATCCTTCTCCCCCTGTCGTCCCCATTAGGCTAACTTATTCAGGGCCCCTCCTCACTCAGCCGTAGCAGCTCTTAGCAGAAAAGAGAAGGGAATCTGGCTAATTAGATTAGACGTGGTCTCTTAAACTTTCTCCCCTTACTTGTGAGAGTTGATTCTGTTGTTTTGATGGGAAGTGACCTTGTGCTAACCTTGAGGTGCCATCTTAAGCCCTAGTATTAAACTGTCTCCTTTTTAGCCACTGCTCCATTCCTCCATCCATAGCTATTTCAGACCAGGTTCTTGTGAACACGGACTAGACTTGCACTCCCAGTGTAATGAAGAGCCCTAATCTCCACATCCTCCCTCCTTACATGTCTGGCATCCGAGAGGCTTGTGAATATCTCAGTGTCAATCTGCTGTTGCTTCTTTCTCATTTTATTGGCCATTTCTGGGCCCACTAGTAAGTCTGCTATGTGCTCGGAATCATTCAGAGATGGCCTCATAGAACAGACCTGGTTTGGCTTTTTTTCTTCTTTTTATTGGGGAAAAGGTAGGATGGTAGGAGGAGATATCTCTAAATCAAATAACAGAAATGGAATAGTAGTAGAAAATAAAACCAATGCTATTTGTGGCTATTCTCTACCATATTTATTTTAGCATGTTTACCTCATGCATCTTGAATTACATAAACAATAACATTTGTATTTAGTAAATGAATTCTTATAAATAATTTATAATAGACTGAGAGATATGTGTTTGTGTCCACCTTGAAACTTTAGATTTCTGTTAGCATAATAGTAAGTGGTACTAGTAGATTCCAGAAACTGATACTGGAAAAGCTCCTGTGGGTACGTTGGACTTCAGACTCATACATTCCATTCCTTTTGCTTCAAGAGAACTATAGGGATACAGATTTCTTTTTAACATTCCCAGTCGTAGGTTAAGAATAGAAAGACAGCATGTGGAATAGAGATGAAGGGAACTAGTAAGCTAAGGCATTAGTCCCTCTTTTAATTTTCCAGTGCTTAATTTCTTCACCTTCTCTACTCTAGCCCGGTTTCAGAGTAAACAGAGCAAGACAAAGGGAATCAATAAGACTAGATAAATTTTTTTTTTGTTTTATTTATTTCTGAGAGAGAGAGCGAGCGACAGCATGAACAGGGGAGGGTCAGAGAGAGAGAGGGAGATACAGAATCTGAAACAGGCTCCAGGCTCTGAGCTGGCTGTCAGTACAGAGCCCAACGTGGGGCTCAAACCCATGAACCGTGAGATCATGACCTGAGCCTAAGTCAGACTCTTAACCGACTAAGCCACCCAGTCGCCCCTCAATAAGACTAGATAAAGAATTGTACGGTATGTGTGGAGCTCTACTCTGGAGGAAGATGATGGAATTAGAGGTAGGGAAAATAGGGATGGAAAGGGGAGAAGAGATCATTGGATGAAGAAATCCCCTCTTCATTGTCATCAGTTGTTGGTTCTGTGCTAGGTGTTAGGCAAGGCAAATAATACAGAATCCCTAAATCTGGTAATTTACAACTTAAGAAAGACATTTTGCGTAATAATAAAGCATGCCTTAGAAGTTCTTCTAAAGCTCACAGATTTTTTTTTTTTCTGTTCTGTCTGAGAGGGCAGGGCAATTTGTGTAGTGGTAGTAGTCAGCACTGGTCATTTTCTTGGTTTCAGCTTTATGATTTTTTCCTTCTACTTTGGGATGCTCGTCATTCATGACAAGATACCATACCTCAGGAGTTCTGTGGGCATGAAAGTTTCACTGCCTTGCCTCTTTTCCACGGGCTGACTGGGGCTAGGAAATGAAACATGGCTAACCCCAGATGTCCAGGAGAAAGCCTGTTCTCTTAGCGGAAGAGATAGAGGAGGAACCTGGGCAAGAGGACAGTCTTGTAAAGGGTGAATGTTTAAATCTGCGTTTATAAGTGTGTGTGTGTGGTCAGTGTCTTGTACGTCTGGGGTATAAAGAAACCTGCGGGTAATGGAAACCACAGCACCTTGTAGGTAGAAGCCACTTGGTACATTATATTCCTCTTTTTAGATATGCAGTTTGTTTCATTTCCACCAGTTTGCACCAGTTTTAGTTTCTCATGTTCCTTACATTCCTGGGAATAACTTGTTGATCAGTTCTGTGCCTCAGGGTTTATAGTGCTTGACAGTTTCTTTATCAGCAGTTGACATTTACTTGGAGACTTTAGTTCTCTTTGTCAGTTCCACTTAGCTCCCACAACTGAGTTGACTCACTGACTCATCCTGATCATCAAGGGGCTTATTTTTACTTTTTCCTCCTTTGGTTCTTCTTCCCGCCATTCCCATTTAGAGTTTGATAAGCTGTAGTTCTATAGATTTGTAGACATTTATACATTCATATTTTGCCATGTGCCCAAATTTGTTTTGCACCCAGCTGGTGTGCTTGAGTCACCCAGTCACAACAGAAGAAAACAAAAAGGACATCCTTGCCGTAATGCAGTGGTGCAAGGGCCTGCTCCTGTCGGTGAATTAAGGTTAATTCAAAACAATCAGCCTCTTATATTGTAAGACATTCTCAGAAGATGACCGAGGTCCCCAGATTTGCTGTTCAGTATTCTGCTGTAAGAAGGGTTGAGCAGATGCTAAGATAGATGCCTTTGAAGAGTGGAGTCACAGGCATCACTGGCCCCAGAGAACAAGAAAAAGAACACACTGGCTTATATGCCAATGGAATGAGAGCTGAGCTAGAACTAATTCCAGTCAAAGGTTTTTGGTTTAAGATTCTCCTGGCTTTTTTGGAGGACTTCAAGATTTTGGTTTTCACTCCAGTGAAACCAGTTACTCAGATGAGACCCTAGTACACATCATTCACCTTAGCAGAAGTCACACAAGTATTTGTGGCCTGAGGTGAAGAACGAGTGTTGGGTCACTTGATTCCCTGTAGATAATCTGATCAGGCCATTTCATCCACCTCCCTTTGCTGACCCTCTTCTATAAACAGGAACAGAAATTCTTGCTACTGGATCCCTTTCATCAGGCGTCTTAGGCTCGCTGAATGAAAAGCCCTATAAAAATGAGATGCAGCCCTAATAATATCAAATACGATTGTGATGACTATTTTGGGCAAGAGCAGCTTTGTGCCGCTCTTGATCTCCATCGGTGTCTGCCATTCCTGCCCTGCCATTACCTTTCAGACTTCCTATTCTTAGAATCATTTGTGAGCCCTGGGCTTGGGGGATTGCAGCCCCCAAGGCTGGAATGCCTAGCTTGAGTGGAATGCAGACTGTCTGGCAGAGTGGAGGTTAAATAAAGTTTGCCTTGGCAACCCCCTCTGCTCTTGGATGGGCGACAAGTAACTCGGGTATAGGAGCAACGGCTTGAGCTGCCATGTGGTTCAGGACCAAATAGAGTAGAAGTGGTTGATGGTCCATCCGTTACAGTCACAGTCTTGTCAGGCTCAGCCCTGCTCCATACTAAAGAGGTTTGGCAGGCTTGAACCTCAGCTAGTAACCATATTGCTCTGAAAAAATGCAGGAGCAAATAAAAAATAAGGGTTAAGTGCCTGCAGGAACAAGGGTCCATGAGGAGCAGCTGGATATGGATAGGGTGGCAAAGGAGAGAGATATATATAAAATCACCAAACCCTTAGCTGGAAAGGCAGTATATGCACATTGCTGAGAAGTGACAGAGCTTCCCACTAGAGGACAGTTGGAAAGCTCCCGCCCTGCCGGATACTGGTTCCCTGCTAGTGCTCTGTTCTATGCAACCCTTAGTACAGCATGCAGTTCCTAGTGGACACGCAGTAAATAATGGTATTATTATTATTACTCATCTTCAAAGTCTGTGGTCCCGAGTTGTCGAATTGCTTGGTTTCATTTGTGAGAGTTGCCACTACCTTCACTTTGTTCTGTGCTGATTGCTCACGTGATTCACACCTTGCTGCAGTCCTTCCTTCAGATTTATCTGACCGTTCTGCTTTCTTCCACCACAGGTGGCTGGAGGTACAAGTTGCTAATCTAACATGTCCACAACGCTGGGTGCAGTATCTCCGACTTCTTCAGGAGTCCATCTGGCCTGGTGGGGTTTTGCCTAAGTATCCACGGCCTGTACGGACCCAGGAGCAGAAAGTAGCTGCTGAAAAACAGGCTTTGCAGAGCCTGATGGGAATCCTGCCAGGTAATTGGACAATGAGATTGGTTATACTGATAATTATTCCTTTGCCATCTGGCTTTGCCACCGTTATCCCATACCCCTCCCCATTTTTAAAAGGGCTTGAATGTGGGTAGGCTGTTGACCCACCATTTCTCAGGCTAATAGGTAAATGATCAGAGCTGCAATTCTTTTATCCCTCATTCAAGTGATGCTGAAGGAATGGAAAGGATCACTAAGACCACACCATAAATAGTAGGTGAGAATCCTGCAGATACACCACAGAGGCAGGTCTCAGAACTGTTCCTACCAGATGAAGACCTCAGGTTCTCTGCCAATTCACGGTTTTTGGATCAGGGAAGAAAATGATATGTCCCGTAGAAGCTCAGCCTTCATAAATTGGGATCATGGAATAAAGTACATGGTTATTAGCAATAGATAAAAACAAATGAGAGGATTTTTTTTCTTTACTTTCTATGGAGTTTTAGAAGGCAGAGAAGGCAGTTTGTTGCCTATGGCTGTGCTGTGGTAATCAGGGTACAGTAGTGAACTCTTAACTCTTAAAACAATTTTATGTACTCTTATTAACCTCTGCTCTCCACCCTAAACTATTACATCAGAAGTACCTGCACTTTAGGGTGCCTGGGTGGCTCAGTAGGTTGAGTGTCTGACTCGTGATTTCGGCTCAAGTTATGATCCTAAGGTTGTGGGATCAAGCCCCACATCAGGCTCCGTGCTGAGAGTGGAGCCTGTTTAATTTTCTTTCTCTCTCTCTCTCTCTCTCTCTCTCTCTCTCTCTCTCTGCCCCTCCCCTGCTTGTGCATGCACTCTATCTCTCCCTCTCTCTGTCTCAAAAGAAAAAAAATCCTACACTTTAATGACAGGTTACAGAATTATTTTTTGAGGCCCATTCTTATTTAAACAGTTAAGAAACATATTTCTAAGCTTTTCGCTGTTTTAGTTTGACTATGTGGTTCAGAAGTTTGCCAGAAATACCTCGTTTGAATAAAAATGGCAGATAGCTTGAGATAAACTCTTTAGAATCTAATGCTTCAGTGGAAGCACTGAAACCGCATCTGTTTTTTCCTCTTCAGATATTGTAGTAGAAATCCTTGGAGTAAACAAATGCCAGCTGAGCTGGAGTCTGGTCTTGGAGTCATTACAGGAACCCGTCATTAACAGGTAGGCTGAAAAGCATGTGTATACTCAGCATCAGCACAGCTCAAGCCATCTCTGGTCTCAGAGGTGTCCATGGTTTCTAGGTGTGCAACCCACACTGCGAAGAATGGAACTGCAGTCTTTATTTGCCCAGGGCCCTGACTGCAAGGTGTGATGTCCAGGTCCACACACATTAAGGAAAACCCACACTGACAGCTTCTGAGCAGTATTGGACCAGCCACTGTTCGCATTTAGAAAAACTCGATGCAGGCCCCCATGTGAGCTACTGAAAATGCCCTGTCACCCTCCAGTCTTATTCAGTGTGCTTAAAGGCTCTTTCAACATTTGCCAGCCCCTGTGAACATCATGAGAGCATCCCCTGTCCTGTACACCACAGGTCATATAATGATTTTCAGCTCTATGTTCAAGGCTTCACAGCAAAGCCAAATAGTATTAGAATCAGGAACTGTCTTTGCTTAATACAAAGCAGACAAGATAATGAGTTTGGGCTCTGATAAAGGGACCAGGAGTACTGGGTGAACACTCCTAGAATAATCCAGAAAAGGTAGGTACTTTCCTGGCTGGTGCCTTGGGATGTAGTGCTTCTGAAAAGTATTCAGGACTTCCAATCCTTTCTCAAACCATGTCTCAAAGCAGACTGCATCAATTAACTGTCACCACTCAAGGGCCCTGGCTTTTGCTTCATTGCCTGTAGGTCACCTGTAGATCTATAATCATTAATTATGAGAAACAGCCATAGTCAGAAACTCTAAAAATTCTCAGTAAGTTGATGTCACAAAGATTTTCCCTCCTTCACAGTTTTTCAGAGCAGTGCTGATGTGCTAATGCAGCTATATAAATAAATGTGGCACTTCCTAAAATCTAGTCTCAAGTTCTATTTCCACCTCTCTTGGGTTCATAACCTTTATTCAACAAACTTTTATTTCATGGTGGAGGCTTTATCAAGCTATTAAAATTTAGAGTTCACTAAGGATATCAGTAATGGGCAAGGCGGGGAAGGGAAAATAAATGTCATAAACAGGGATCTGGTGTCTGTTGACTGAGCCAGACCCTCCTCTAAGTTGTTTTGTCCGTTTGTTTTAGGCATTTGATTTACTGCCTTTGGGACATCATCCTGGAATTCTTGGATCTCAGTGCTTCTGTTGAGGAGTCTGCCATCACCACCTCTGCCTCAGATACCCCAGGCAACCCCAGGAGGATGGGTGTCTCCCCTTAGCCATAGGTTACTCGCTCGTTCTTTGAGGGCTGGGAAACGAGAGTTGCTCTCCTACCCCACGACCAGTCAGGAAACCTGTGCCGCCTGAACCTGGGCAGTAGCTCAGGAGGCCTGAGGTCCCAGGGGCACAGTTCTCCCCCAGCTCTACTCCACTTGTAGCCAGTGATGGGGGAAATACATGCCAGTCGCATGCCTGTCCATTTCTATACCTTGTTTTGTGATGTTTAGATCGTTGCTGGTGGAAAAGGAATCTGTGAGGTAGAAGAATGAGCCCCTTTTGCCTCTCCTTTGCCCTCCTTCCTAAGGTTGTTTTCCGGGAGCCTGACTCTGTGCATATATGTTCCTAATCCACTAACACACAAATTGTAGATAGACCAAGAGAAAACTGATAACCGGATTTCTTGGAGGAATAGACCATCTTCTACAGCTCTTTGTTCCCACCAAGAAACTGAAAATTCATTCAGGACCACTCTTGAAGGTGGGATCCTCTGAGTTCTGTCTAGTTTCCCAACAATTCCAAAGAAGGAGGGAAAACATTTCTCAAGGGACTTTTTACTGATTGGCTATTTCCCAACACATCAGTCCTAGGGAGAATGGTATTGAAGGCTGCTTCCCTGGGTGGCTACACTTTGCCTGTTCAGAAGACTTCAAAGTTGACTGCCAAAGCTTCTGGGTAGATCCACCCCACCCTCCACACCCTTTCCTGAAAGAGAGTTGCATCACAGATTTTATTTATTAGCTTTCCTCCTAACCCCTCTCCAAGAGCAGTTGAGTTTGGTCTTTGTGACTTTCTCTCTGTCTTCCTTCAGCAGAATCATATGGCAAGTTGCTTAGTCAACCCAGTGCTTCCAAAGGGAAGGGAAAGGCTTGCTCCTGCTCCGTGCCTGGGAATATGCCCAGAGAGGAGGGAACTCGGTGGGGGGAGGGGGTGCAGGTTTCTAGCAGGGGACTTTTAACTTGAACCGGTAATATTAGCAAACCTGCACGAAAAGCTTTTTACTTCCTGTTCTTTAAGGATCCAGTTATAATTAGTCTTTAGGGACACTTGAAGATGGAGGCAAAGGTACTATATCAGACACTATATAGTGTCTTAGAAGAATGGAACAATTAGGAGAAATTGTTGCTAGGTAAGAGGCAGACAGAAAGTCACAAGGGAAGTACTGCACATTAAATGCATGTGAGTAGCTGACAGGGTTCAAGAGGGTCACTGGGAGACCGTTGCCCCCCTCATCCCTTTAGCTTTGCACTTGCCTGTTAGAGCCTTGCTGTCACTGAGTTGTGGATCCTCCCATTTGGAAGGGGATATTGGGGTAAGACAGCAATGAGATGGATCTAGAACAAGTGTCAGGTTCCCTTAGACTCTGAAGTAGATGATGTGCACACAATTAAAGTGGTTTATGGGAGAAAGTTGTGCAATCTTTTTTTTTTTTTTTTTTTTACCACCCCTCAGGAGGCTTTTACCTATAAAATGTGTTCTGCTGTAATCAGGAGGCTTTAGGTAGACTCTTATTGCCCCAGGACAAGGGGATGAATGAGATCATGTCTCATGGCACCTCTAACCTTAAAATTTGATTGTTACAGTGACTTTATGGCTCCAAAACTTCTTTCACCCTGGACACTCACAGGCAGAAGGAACTCAGCATTTCTTGCTTTAGTAATTATGTATTTGCAGGATGGCAGGGGGTCCGGCCTCACATATTGAAACACGTCCTTCACTTATTTCAGCTGTAGGGCCTATTTTGGGGTCGGTGCAGGTGGCCAGCTCGTTTCTGCTACCCTTCTCTCCTCATACTGTACCCTCACAGGTACTTAGCCACCTATATTGCTTTGAATATCTGCTGCTAGTTCTGGCTCAGATGTCCTACAAAGTTGGTACATAAGCTGACACATCATAAATTCCCTGTGGCTATAACATCTAAGGGATCTTTTGACACTTCTAACACAAAGAAAACTTCCCTTGTGTTTCATTTTACATAAGAAATCCCAACTCTGTTGTCCATGTCCCAAAACATAAATTGTCCTCAGACCCTCCAACGCAGAAGGGAAACAATGGAGATCACCAAGGAAATAATCAAAGCCCATGTGATCTTGAAATAGCCTGTCAAGTTTGGTTGCAGGCACAGTCTGCAAGGGAGATCAGCATTTGGGAGAGAGCCACAGATATCAAGAAAAGATGCTCTCAGCTGAGAGAGTGATAAAAGGCGATAAAAAATTGGGCCTGTACTAACCCGGAACATTCTTGAATTTTCTTTTGCCCTTCCCAGCAGGTTCATTTCCAGTTGCTTCTCTGTCTTTGCTCCTAACACTCAACAACAGGTCGTGGGTAGAGTAAAATATGTGTAAACATGGTCCCTGGCTATATAAGTTAGGATGCTTTGGACTGATAGGAAGCTACTAGGAAAATTTATTTTCTTCCATAAAATCAGTACTTGAGTAGGTAAGCCCCAGGAGTTGATGGATTCAGCAACTCTGACCTCATAAAGGGCCCAGAATCTTCCCGTCTTTCTGCTCTGCCATCGTAAACATGTTTGTTCTGTTCTCAGCCTGCCTGCCTTCATGGTTGCTGCAGTTTGGGGCATCACATTCATACAAAACAATGTGAAAGAACATAGGCATCTCTTCCATGTTTTCTTTTAAAGAATGAAGAAACCTTTTCCCAGAAGCCTGTCGAGAATGCTCATGACTCACTGGCCAGAACTGTTCACCCTGAGCCAATCCATAGTCACTGAAAATGGCATTACCTTGTTGGCTTGCAATAGTATTTACCCCACCAGAGAGGAGGTCACCCTCTAGGAAAGTTAGATACCTAAAAAAATTATTAGATGTTAGCAAGGAAGAAACAGAGAATGTGTGTTAATAGTATTCTATCATCTGTTACAACATCAACAAATCATCCATGACACCCTAAGAATATCTGGTACCAGGTAAGAGAGAATATTTGCTGAAGGCACCACTTGGAGCACTTCATCTGCATTAACGTACTTAACCCATACATCAACCATGTAAAGTGGGTCTATTAAAGGTCCCTATTTGAAACATAAGGCACAGAGAGTTTGTGAGTTGCCCACAGTCACTTGCAAGGAAATGGCAGAGCCTAGATACAAATCTTGCCAGTCTACCCTCAAGCCTGCATGCATAATCATTACACTACTCTGTGTTCTTACAAAGCAAAGTAAGACCAGGTTCTCACTTTTAAGGAGCTTACCATCTAGTAAAGAAGTCTGCAGACTTTTCTGGTAAAGGAGCAGAGAGTAAATATAGGCTTTGTGGCCATATGAGCTCTTCCACTGTAGAGCATGAAAGCAGCCATAGACAATACATACAGAAATGACTGACTGTGTTCCCAAAACTTTATTTACAAAAACAGGCAGCTGCCCAGATGTGGCCCATGAGTCCTTTTCAGACCTCCTGTCTAAGGAGTTATGTTCTAACAGTGCTTATCAAACCTCAGTGTCCATGTGATTCAGCTGGGATCTTGTTAGAGAATATGCTGCATTTTTTTTTAATGTTTTATTTATTTCTAGGAGAGAGAGAGAGACAGCGTGAGCAGGGGAGGGTCAGAGAGAGAGGGAGTCACAGACTGAAACAGGCTCCAGGCTCTGAGCTGGCAGTCAGCACAGAGCCCGACGCGGGGCTCAAACCCACGAACCACGAGATCATGACCTAAGTGAAAGTCGGACGCTTAACCGACTAAGCCACCCAGGCACCCCGAATTTGCTGCATTTTTAATAAGCTCCCCAATGTGTGCCATTGAGAATGCAGATCCCCCACCACATGCCGAGTATCAAGGGATTAGAACATGGGCAACTCTTCATGGAGTGTGATTAATCTACTCCTAAATATCTAGGAAGGGCATTTAATTGAGAGTGGAGGACCATGGGAAGCCTGAGATGATAATACCTGAATTGACTCCTGAAAGCTTCATATGAATTAGTCAGTGAAAACATGGGGAAGGTGATGGAGGGAACAATGTGTGCAAAGACAGAGTTGTCACCGAAAGACACATACTGTATGATTCCATGTATCCAAGGTACCTAGACTGGTCACCCTCACAGAAACAGTAGAAATGTGGTTGTCGGGGACTAGAGAGGAGGATGGGGAGTTTGTGATGGGTACAGAGTCTCAGTGTTACAAAATGAAAGGTTCTGGAGATCTGTTTTACAACTGTCAGTCGATGTGACACTACTGAGCTGTACGCTGAAAATGGGTAAGAAGGTACATTTTACATTATGTATTTTACTACAATCAAGAAATTTAAAATTAGAAAAGCCATGGAGAGCTACAAGTGGCACAGCACAGTGGGAGCTCAGGCTGCCGGGAGGAGGGTGGAGGGAGGAGGGGTGCTGGGAGAGGGCCTGTCTGGTGTGGCATGCTCCTGAACCCGGCACTGTTCTCCCTCTACACACTGGGGAATTGTTGAGGGATCTTCCAGAGGAGTATTTCTCATCAGAATTAACAGGTCCTGCTTACGGGACACATGGGGGTTTGATGGCACATGTAAACAGCCCTTAGTCCTGCCCCTTGGATTTGACCCCTGTCTCAGTCACTTTCTGACCCTCCTTAATTTCTCCGAGTCTGTCCCTACTCTTTCTTACATATGAGATGGCTTCAGGGTCTATTGAGTATAATGAGCTGAAGCGACAACAGACTGACTGAAACCTAGCTCTGTCACTTAATCAGCTGTGAGGATATGGTCAGGTAACTTAGCTTCACTGAGACTTAAATTTCTCTCTTAGAAAAAGGGACAAATACATTACAACCATTTTGAGAAGTGAATTGTAAAAATAAGCTTTATAGAACACAGGCGCTATGCTATGAAATATCAGTGGCGTTATTATCCTGCTGTCTGAGGGCCAGTTGGAGATGCCTTGCTTTAGGAACCATGGAGCCACGCTGTTCTCTAGCAAGCCTCCATTCCCCAGCCCTCTCAGAACCTGCTGTTTATCTTGGTCTTCCTTTGCACTGGAGCAATATGTGTTTTCCCAGGAGGAGGAAAGGAAGGTTAGCCAACCCTGCTGGATACAAATGGGAATGGGAACCAACCAGAGGCAGGAGTGGTTAATTGGAGAGGAAAGGAAACCATGATGCTTTTGTAGTTGAAGGCCCAACTGGGCAAGCTCTTCCATCACTTGGCATCTCCAGTTCCTTTCCACTGGGAGTGCCAGAAATCACAGGGCAGTAGTTGTTTGCACTGCCTTTGTGGACAAGAGAATGAAACCATTGCAGGGTAAATTTCTGCTAACAAACCTCGGTCACTCTGGTGTAAAGGGTGAGAAATGCCGGCTACACACAGCACAGTGTTTCTCTGAAGAGAGCCAGTGAGGGGATCCTATCCCAAATATTACTTCCATATCCTAAGACTTGTCCAGTATTTATTACACAAAGACATCACTGGCCCATTTAAAAAAGAAAGAATAAAAGCAAAAATGTGTCAAGCAAGTGAAAATCATCAGAGCCTTTTTCTGGCTGTGACCTAATAGCAATAGGGTTTGAAGCAGGGGCAGCGCTGACTTGGTAGAGGAAACGTGGGCACCAACAGCCACCTTGGCAGATAATGCTGTGCTATTCTCAGACCTGACCAGCCTTCTTGCCACCTCCCTCCCTATACCTCTCACCTGTCTCTGGTCTGAGAGTACACTTGAACTCTGCTTTCTTGGAAGTGAAAACAAGCATGCAGTGGAATCCAGAGAACTCCTGTCTTTGATGTCTGTTCCACATGACAAAATCTGTTTTCTCTCCACATCTTGACTCTTCAAACCTTACCTACAAATGCTTCTGTAGAAGTCACTACCACACTGTTTCTCGGATGTGGAAGTTTGGGAAGGAAAAAAAATGAAAGGAAAAAAAAATAGTATCAGGATCCAAACTTAGAAAACATTTCTTAAAGTGACATTATCTACCCCTTTTAACTCAAAATAGACCTCTTTGTTACCAAAGTTTGTTTAGGAACTGCAAGCAAATTTTAGTATTAGGGTGTTGTAATTAAGAAAGTTAAGTCTGTGTCAGATATCTAAATCCATACTTTGGCTTTTTTCCCCCCTTCCCCTTATGTTCCGTGTGACTATTGCAGCCTGTTATTATGAGCAATGGAGAGCTATAGCTTTAACTGTGCTTTCAGACACTTACATTCATCAATGAGGACAAAGGCCAAGCAAGATTAACCCAAAAGTCTGTGATTACAAAAAACAAAAAAAGAAAAAGGCTCTAATATGTCTGCAGAAGCCATGACTTCTCTGTACTGGGTTGCCTTGGGTTTGGTCATCTTCAAAATCAGGTAATTGGCCCTTTTGCTTGTGCTCCATTGTTAGACTACCCCAGTAACATTAGAAAGATTAAAAAGATTTAGCATACTGTCTGCATTTCATATCTTGCCTTTAGGGAGAATTGACCTTATTAAGAAAAAAAAAAAAACTTAAAAAGTCCTTCTGGAGTTTACATTCTTTGCCAATACTAACATGGAGTCCAAATTCAAAGTAATGGCAAGCCAGTTCCTTCCCAGCTTCCTGTACTTGTAACAAAAGTTTGCCTCCTATCATCTGTAAATGAAAATGATTCAAGAATACTGAGGGTACCTTTCATTAAAGTTTCATATGGCTCTGGGAGATTCACGTGAGCTTGGTTGACAATAGGACTTTTGCTGGGAAAGAGAATTGTATTATGGAGATGGTTTGGCAGAAGGTTGGATGAGGTGGCTTCCCAGAAATCTAGGGGCCTGCATCCTGTTCTCTCCAGCTTCTGTCCTTTGGCCTCTGTTCTTCCAGCTGTGCAGAGATGAGCACCCTCTGTTAGGGTCAAAGTTTCACCTTCCCCAAGGAGCTTTTTCTGATTGTGCCAGTCAAAATTCTCACTCCTTCTTCCGAGTTACTTATACTTCTTCTCAATGTGATCAGGGTCAATGTGCATTTTATGGGATCCTCAGTAAGAGATTAATTCTTCGAGGGCAAGAAACATATATCCGTTTTATTCCCATTATATCCCTATGCCTCAGCCTCCCCATAGCTAGTGCATAGTAGATACAAAATAATAAATGCTGAAGCTTATAAAATTAAAGAAGATTGTGCTTATTAACTTTTAGAATGTAAATATGTTAATAAATTCAATGAAAGAGTTTACTGGGCATGGAGATTTGAGAGAGGGACAAGGGGGAAGCACATTTTCATTTTTCTGACCTTATATCTTTATTCAATAGTAAATATCAAATGAAAGAAGTTGTTTTTTATATCTCCCATGCCAAAATTCACAGTTTTCTAACAGTACTGTTTGCAGTGTATGCAGTCCATAAGGTGCTAAAACTGTAAGCTTTTTAAAGAAAATTAGTCCTGATTTGAGGATATTTTTAAAAATCTGCCAGTCACGAAAGTACAAAACATACCCTATCTACTCTCCAGTCCCCACCTTCACCTACTGGATCAGAAAACAAAACAAACAAAAATCGCAGGAAATATTCTCAACTCTTTCCTGCCTCAGACACAAATTTGTAAGAAAGTAATTACCATGAAGAGAAAGATTGGTTTGCTACCTGACTGCTCTAAAATTATCTTGGAAATCCTTTGGTCCTAGATTTAAAATTCTTTATTTCAGACCTTCTCTAACAACATATCTAAGCCATGTCTAAGATCCTACAAGGAAAACTCTTCAAAGACAAAGTAATAACCTTGAAGAAAAGAAAGGATAGCATAAATTCCTCTTCGTTCTTATAGGCGTTTGCTATCTTCCCCACCACATTTCCTGCTGCAACTATTTGCCCAAACACAACAGATCAAAACTAGGCAGCCTCCATAAGAATGAAAACTAACAAATCTAAGACAGCTGGATTGGCGGCAGGTCAACATGTTGGTCCTGGGGGGATAAAATCACCTGCTGTTTTGGGGGCCCCCAGAATGGGCCTCCAGGCCATGATTTTAAACAGGGCAGGAGCAGGTAAAGGAGCACAGGAGGAACAAGTTCAGTCTGAGAATTAAAACAATGATGCATGTCATGCGAAGAAGGAAACTTTAGACAATATAATGCTTGGGTCATATATTATCTTAGACTGGGTCTGCATAAGACCCATCTGCTATGGAATGAAGTCCATTCTAGTGCCAGTGAACATTTGCACAACACATGATGTGGAATAGTCTCTGGAGCCAAGATTGGTTCTGTATCCACCCCGGGGCAGGTTGGTCAGTCTCCAGTGTAAACCTCCTTGGGATTAACCACTTATTCCAGTGTTGTGCACTGGATAATTAATACCAGATCTGCTCCAGACAGCCTTGTACATCCTGCATATGGATGAAGACCCAAAAAGTTTTTTTGGTGATCTATTTGGATGGGATAGAGAGAGCTGTTGCTCTAATATTTGAAGCAGAGTCATCCCCATGTACAGGCGTGTACCTTGCACAGATAGGGGCTTATGGGAGACATGTGACATTTACCAGCAGGAGCTTGTCTGGACAGGTAAGAGGGTCAGTAAGTGTGCATGTGTGGATACAGAAGTAAATCTGTGGCATTAATGCTTGAAGAGCAGGGCTATGTACCTCCTTTTAGCAGTCTGGAGAGGATTGAGGTAAGAGCTTGTGTTTCAGCAAGGTTTTGGATATGGAAGAATCCCCACTGGTGGGGTGGAATGACCTGAGTTATACGATTAGGGTTTCTGTGGATTTTTCCCATGTGATAAAAATATTTTTCTTCTCGTTTTGTTTGTAGCAGGCAGTATTGGACCAATAGTTCGCCTACGCCAATTTTTTTTTCTATGTTATTTCTGAAACCCTTTTCTCAAGCACTAAATAACAAGAAAAAAAAGAAACCTTTTCAAAAAAAATTCTTACTTCTGTCGTTTCTCTTTTTTGTGTGTGCAGCACCAAAACTGCTTTTCTCCATCCCTAAATCCTTCTCCTGTATCAGCTTACCAGTCTGCATGGGTTGACTTGGCTGCCCTGCTAGTCCAGTTGTCTTTTTGATAAATTAGTATGGACAGCAACTTAAGGTTCCATGGAAATCTTAAACATGATATTTCTTATACTTGACTCACAGTCAGTATTCTAGGAGGAAGGTTGCCCTACTGTCCCCTCCTGTGAAATCAGAATAACCACCAATCCTAAGATTAAACATTTTGATAAATTCTTTCCATGTTCCAAGCCATTCACACAATGTTATGGACTAAATGTTTGTGTCTTCCTGAAACTCTTAATGTTGGAGCCCTCGCCCCCACTGTGATGGTGTTAGGAGGTGGAGCCTTTGGAAGGTGATTAGATTTAGATCAGGTCATGAGGGCTGTGCCCCCATGATGGGATTAGTGCCCTTATATGAAGAAGAAAAGACAGCACAGTTTTCTCTTTCCTCATGCACATGAAGAACAGGCCATGTGAACACATAGTGAGAAGATAGGACACCTGCAAACCAAAAACAGAGGCTTTAGAAGGAAACACACCTGTGGGTACCTTGGTCTTGGACTTTCAGCCTCCAGAACTGTGAGAAATAAATTGCTATTGTTTAAGCCACCGAGGGTGTGGTATTTTATTATGCGAGCTAGAGCTAAGATACCCAACGAGAGAGTTTAGTCATGTAAATCTCTTCCCCTGATTTTAAGTCCAGATTCCGAGACTCAGACTTTCTGAGCTTTCCATGGAAAATCTGGTGTAAAAACTGTCCAGCCCCTAAAAAGTGTATAAACTGCCTCTGAAGATATTGCTAAAGCTCTCCTCTTCCCCAAATTACCTCTGTGAGTTTACCCTCCTGGAGAAACTTTCTGAAAACTAGTGACTAAGTGCTCAAATGGGAAGGAGGATGGGTGAAAGACCAAAAAAACAAAAAACCAACTGTTGCTAATTGCATCTGTTGTTCATAGTTCTATATTCCTTTCACCTACCCACACTGATAAGCAATATGTAATAAAGAAGCTCCTTTTTAAAAAATAAAATGTAATTAAAAGTTTATCTTAAATTGGCTGTACTCAGCACAACTTGGCTGAAACATACCCGGTTGTCTTCGTTGAGTGTCACCTAAAGTGTCCATTCTAACCTGCGCCTTATCAGATGGCCTCCTGTCTTCCTAACTAACTGGGCTGTAAACCCCTTGAAGCCAGATTGTGTTGTTTACTACAGTCTCTCCGGCATTAAGCATTACACCATGACATCTCCCTATTTTCTCCTTATGCTTTCATCTCATGGATTCTCAGAAAGCTGGTCAAGTTCCTCTGTCCTCTCCACATAAGCTTGTGACAGACTTTGTACACAGTTGCTTGATCCATAAATGAACTTGGCAGACTTCTTGTGCCAGTGAGTAACGTTTTTCTTTCCTTCTGGTAGTCTTGGACTCTATATTGCCACCTGGCAATTTTCTTTCCATCTTCCTACACACACACGATAGAGCAAAACGTCCTTGACTAACCAAGTTGCATGTAAGTGAAAGTGGGGCTCTTGGCTTGTGTCTGGCCCTGACCCCTCCTCTGCTGTGAAAGCATACCAGCTTCTTAGTTTGAAACCAGAGGAGACTACCTTGTGTGGATTTCATAGCAGTAGCAGGCTTCATCTGAAACTTGGGGACTCCTGTGACATATTACCACGGTAACCAGCCACCACCTGACCCTAACAGCCTTTGAGACTCTCTGATCTGAGGTGGAAATGCCCCCAGAAGCAGACTGCAGACTGGCAGCTCTTAAGCACATGACCCATCTCATAAGCACATAGCCAGCTGGAACTTCTTGGTTGCTGGGGTGAAGGGGCCTCTTTATCACCACAGGAGGAATCAGATGATTCAAAAGGGTGTTCATTTCTCCCCCCTACCAGACATACTCACCAATCCCCAACCCAGCTTCTGGTTGAAAGGGCTTTCTTCCCTTTCTTATTACATTCTGTGTTATTCAAAATGCTGAGCTAAAGTGGGAGGGAGCAATAATACTTAAGGATTTAAAGTATCTTCCTATCTGTAGGGGAAGTCTCTGCCCCCAGTGTGGGAAAAGAGAAGGCAGCCGGGGAGGGAAGTGGAAAGTCAGCCTCCTGGGATGCATTGTTGTAATTGATTGTTTCAGGTCACAGGAACACACAGCACCATAAATGGGAGTGGATTTCAATCCTAAAGGGCAGTACTCCTTCTCACAGGAAAACAGGTGATTAATAGTATCCATGAGACCCATATAGATGGTGCCTATTCAACTTGTCAGGCATGTAAAGGCAGAGAAGAAAACATTCCAAAGATTAGCTTTTAAAAGTGACCATTTTATTCTTTGGAATTGTCACAAGGGCGTGTTACGGATCTTGAACAAATTCCCATTCACCCCAAACTCAGGCAAAGAGAAGCAACGAAATTGGGGAGGAACATATTTGCCTGGGCATTGGGAGAGCTGGCTTCTGGTCATGGGTCACAGTGATCTTGGACAAATCTCTTTACTTGCCTGGACTGATGTTTCTTTCCTCCATACAGAAAGGTTGGACTGAATAATAGGTAAGACCCTATTCACCTGTGCAACTTCCATTACACAGCAAAGGCTGTCTTCCAGTTTGGGGACAGTTTCTAGAGCGTTGAGGATGCTTTCTAAGTGTTTGTCATGAAAATGAATGAATGATTATATTTCATCTTGACTTTTATCTCAATAGAGATTTTCCTTGACTTCATTTGTGTCTCGATTTGAGGAATGAAGAAAGGAAGCATAATGAAGGAAAGAAGGGAGGAAGGGAGGGAGGAAGGAGGGAAGGAAGGAAGGAAGGGAGAGAGGAAGAAAGGAAGCTTTGAGATATTCTTTATGAGATATTCTTTATGAGAGGAATGTCTTGCCTTTCTCTGGACCCTAGGATACAAAGTTCCTATCCTACATTTTCCACCTTTAAGCCTGCCAAAATCAAATTGATTAAGGAAGGATACCATAAAGATTTAAAGCTACATCCCCAGATTTTCAAGGAGTCCAAAGACCATTCATCTCCAATCAACCTTTCTTAGGATGATGGTGGTATTGATCATCAAAGTACACCATTTCATTTTTCATTTTCCAGATTATTTTCTGTGAATCATCTCATTTTATTTTTTCATTATTCCTTTGAGGAGTGTAATACTTGACACATGTATAGGACTTTCTAAATCACAAAGTATTTCATATTCAATGTCTTAAATAAGATCTTGAAAATCACTTTTTAAGATAATTTGGGAAGTTATTAGCGTCTCCATTTTACTGAAGAGGAAACTGAAATACAGAGAATTTCTCTCTTGCCCAAGATCTTGCCCATTTTTTCAGGAGGCAAAAGAACCAGGATTAAGAAATTGGCTCTGCTGGTAGACAACCAGATGTGAATCCTAGCTCTGCCACTGACTAGCTCTGGGTCCTTGGGTAAAATATGTAAAATCTTCATGCCTTGGTTTCCTCATCTATTAAATTAGAAAAATAATGGTACTTTCCTCACAGAAACTGGATGGGGGAAGAGACTAAATGAGTCGATACATTCAGATGCTTAGAAAAACTTCTACCACACAAAGCATTTTAATTGTTTGTCATCATCAGCAAAACCAAGACTGGAACCTGGGTCTTCCAACTTCTAGCTCAGTGATATTTCTGGTGCCCCACACCAATAGTATCCTTACTATACACATGAGAAAAAGCCTACAGCTTTGAAGTGCAAAGCTCATCCAAAGCCTCTCTTGAACAGAGAGGTCTAGAGCTAATGTCTCCTGGACTCTACTTAGTCCTTCCACCATTAAACCACACTGCTCTCCACTGCTCTTAAGTGTTTAAAACTTATAGGGGCACCTGGGTGGCTCAGTCGGTTAAGCGTCTGACTTCTCACAGTCCGTGGGTTCGAGCCCTGCATCAGGCTCTGTGCTGACAGCTCAGAGCCAGGAACCTGTTTCAGATTCTGTGTCTCCCTCTCTCTCTGCCCCTCCCCAGCTCGTGCTCTGTCTCTCTCTGTCTCAAAAATAAACATGAACAAAATTTTTATAAAAATGTTTAAAAGTTATAAACCAACTACTCTCATGCAATCCTACTGACAGCCTGAAGGCAGACTCTTTCACTCTTCTGGGGAAAGGATCCTCTACCGTCAGTCTTAAGAGATCAAAGGGTTTGGGATGGCTCATTGCAATGGATACATGCTTACTACTACCTCCAGGCCTCTTCTGGGATAGTCTCTCTCCTTTCCCTTCCAACTGTAGTTATCATCAGCACTGAATGATTCCATATTTGACCATTTATAGCTTTCTTAGTACAAGTCATGTTTTTTGTATTTTCCTTGTATACTCCTTGAGAGTGCAGACTATGTTGTGTGTAGGTTTGTATTCTCTACTGCACATTGAGAAATGCTCAGTCAATAGCAGGTACATAAACAGATCTTGATTCATGAATTGATTAATTGTTTGAGGGACTGATAGTGTACCCTTCCAGTGGTTGACAATTGTCCTTACCTCTTACTTGCAAGTTCAGGATGATCAAAGAACTTGCCTGGATGACCTTTAATACCACAGTGACTGAGCAAAGGTTGTCTGTAGGAGGAAGAGCAGGGGCTGGGGAGGGGAGAGAGTTCCCCATTGCTCTCACCTGGGCTGGCTTCCACCCCAGCCACTGTCTGACTGCACACCGTGTGCACGGAAGACACAGACCTGATCCAGGGCTTTCCCTCTTGTCGACGGTCTGGACCCCTCAGAGCACACCCGGACCGGACGTGACCTTGCTCTACAGTTAAAAACAAGTGAAAGTCATCTGCCAGGGTCACTTGGCACCAAAGTCCTGTGACAGAAGGGCCTCCACTTAAAGGGCAGCACAAATCCAGGGCATTAAAATAACCTGAATGGTGTCATTTTCTGATCAAATGCCTTTCCCTGTCGGGTTTGTGATTTTTGAGCCTGAGAATGTCCCCTCAAGGCTCGGGTTTCCCTGCTGTCACACTGGTCTCAGGCATGGAATGTGAGTACTGGCTGTGGAGGTCTGATGTAGCTATGTCACAATCCCAAAATGGAGAGACATTATCTCATAGACAGTGGCAGCAGGCAGGCACCAGTGTGCTGCTGGCAAGCACAGTCAGAATCTGGCCCTGTGAGTATTTCTCATCCACGGTTCTCAGTGGACAGATGGTTAGAGGTCCCAGATGCCAATCTGTGCACTAGTAAATTGGGGTCTTGCAAAGCTTCCTGCCCAGGAGTAAACCCAGGAAAACACCAGCTCAGATACAGACAGGCTCATTGTTGGTATAGGTACCGTCGGTTTGCAGGAGGGCGATCCCTGGTGGAGAGGACCCGGAGCATCTGGAGGGCTTGGTCGGGATGCAGAGAGCAGCAATTCACAAGGTGAAAGGGCGCTCAAGGCAGCGCTAAGCTACCGTCCTTACTTCCCTGGCCTCTGAGGGCAGGATCGCTGACCACAGGGCAGGTGGGGCCTGGTGGCCTATGAGGTAAACATCCCTTTCAGCACTTGGAGAGGATGAGGCCCCAAGGGCAAACTATTACCCCTCTCATAGAGTAATAGAGGCCGTCAGAGTCCTAACCACTTTGATCACGAACTATCTTTAGGGATGAAGAGAAGCACCTTCATACCCAGCCTGAGAAACGGGGGGTCCTTTCCTCCTTGGTAGCCTGTTCAACCACTTACTTCCTATGGCTCTGCTCTGAGACAACGTTTGTTACAACCAAGCCATTTTCCAAACAAGCCCTGCCTGCTCCTGCCTCCTCCCATCACTCATTCCTTCCTGGGCTAAAGAGTCTTCCTCTTCTTAGTCCTTTCTTCCAGATCCACAGCTGATTGACTGCTGCTGCTGAGTGAGGTGTCTGAGTGCTGCAGCCTCCAGTCTCTGGGGCTCCTTCAGAACCAGTGTGTACTCTTTTCATGTGACCCTTGGCACACACCTGCTTCTCAGTCTCTTACCATCCCACACGCGGGTTAGAGTATATTTGTTGGGAAGACCCTTCAGCACAGAAGCTGCGCTCTATCTCTCAGAGCTTCCCGTGCCTAACAGCAGGCTCACAGCACTGACTCTTAAAAATCTACGACCTCTCCAATGGCTTTCCATCACACTTAGCAACAAAACTTAAGAAAGAAGCCCGTGATCCAGCCTCATGTCCTAATTTCCCCATTTCTTTACCTTCCTCCAACACACTGGGCACCCTAGCATCAGGCCTTTGCACTTGCTCTTCCCTCTGCCTGACATGGTCTTTCCCTGGACCTTCACATGGCCACCTCCCTCACCTGATTTTCTCTGCCCAAAGGCCACCTTCTCAGAGAGGATTTTCCTGGCCATCATATCTGAAAAATAGCACTCCTCATCCCACAAGCCCTATCTTTCCTTATTCTTCATCATAGCACCTAATTACTGACTGACATTACATTATTACACTATATTACATTACACTATGTATTTTTAATTTTTTTAATTTTGTGGGCCTCCATAAGAATGCAAATTCCATGAGAGTCAAGACCTGGGTTTATTCACAACTTGTCCTCAGAACCTACAGAGACGTCAGGAATATTGTAGGTATTCAATACTTGTTGACTAGTTGGATGGGAAAGTGAATGAGCAAACATTTCCTTGTGAAGTAGGGACAATTCTGGGCAATGATGTGATATGGTCCACCATGGGATAATCTAAGGCTTCCTTTCAAAGAACCAAAAAGCATCAGAACTATAAAGGTGCTTGAAGGAGGTCAACTCAACTATACAGAGTAAGAAACTGAGTCCCAGACAGGGAGACATGAATGGGATAAGCACTTTAAAAGTTAAAATCTTTGACTTCTCATCGTTAACTCTTCCTAGAACGTGGCCTGATGTGACAACTCTTCTGAACAAATTCCGACCTCAAAACCAGTTTTCTACTGGTTTTGCACTTGAAAAATTTTTATAGATTCAAAAACAGTTAAGAGAACAAGGCCAGTTGCATAAAATTTCACCTCTTCATGCTTCCGAGTGTTTTTAGAGGCACTACGGCAAAGAAAGTATCGATACTGTGTCCAGCATTCCTTCAGTAGCCCAGACCTGCACAAATATTGAAGCATTGTTGCTTTATTCTTCCCAACCTTTGTGTGTTAGGCCAGACACTACAGGACATCTCCTTTTGGAATAAGGAAGAAATCTAAGCATATGCCCAAAGCCAAGCTGCAGCTGCGTTCCAGGTCTTCATCTGGCCTTCTCCTTTAGGCACCTGTGTAATGCTGGCTGTAGCTCACTGAAAACAGACTGGAACCACTCATTGCCACTTGGTGGGTGGTTCACCTGACCGTCAGCGTCGGTATTCATCAGACAACAGCCATTCTAGGTTTTCCTTTTTCTTTTTCTTCTCTAATTCCCCGGTGGGTTCTAAGAAAATCCCATCCAAAGTCTTCTTTCCCAGGTGGCCCTTGAGGGTGGCTGCCCCCTTGCTCTTCTCGTAAGATTGTGTTTGACAGCAATGAAAACCAACAGTTCAACAGCAATAATTTCTTGGCAGGACAGATTGGCATGAGACTTGTCCCAAAACAAAATAAGCCTTTCAAGGAAGTGTATTTCAAGTTGGGCCCATGTTCCCAAGACACTGAGATTCTTATATGGCTGACACAGGAGCCGAGGCTGAGCCCCAGCCAAGGGCCGTCAATGATTGTCAATAACACCACAGAACAGAGAGAAGACTTGGGGGCTGAACAGTTCAGACAGGGGTAACTGGAAATACTGCAGAACTCGTTCTGGGGAAAGGTTTTTTGTACTCTGGCCTGATTTTCTTAAACAGCCTTGTTAGTGATTTCAGTCTTGGAGGAGCGTGTGTGGATCAGGGTAGCATCCCCTTTCCTTCCTTCCACTCTTTTTCGCTACCCATTCCTTCCCATCATTCTCCGCAATTCTTTCCATGCCACCTACCACCGTGTTCACTGCTGTATGTGCCACTCAGAGGAGCTCTCTAGACATTATGTCACGAGGGAGCGTGCCATGTCACCTATGAATGGCAACTTATATGCTTCTGATTGTCTGCATCCTAAGTTGTTATGAGCCTTCCTCTCTAGGCTTGGTTACAATGCACAAGCTCACAGAATGATTCAAACATCAAAGGTGGAAGAATCCTCAGTGTGTCCCGGGGATAACCAAGTTGCTTTTGTGCTGCATCCTCTCAAGGCCCACAAGAGGGCGCCCGAGACCTCTCAAGTCCAGTTACGAGAAGTGGCAGCGAGGCCAGGAGGTGGCGCTGTTGCCTTAACCATCAAGAAGGGAGCGTCTCCGGCTTAGCCAGGACTGTGATTGTATTGGTTGGGGGACACATAGCATCCTTGCGGACTGCAAGTAATCCCCATGTGGGATGCTAAGCTGTCCCAGCCGACCATCGCTACCCTATCCTGAGAGACAGAGCCAAGCTCTAGCCAGCCTGATTCAACGGAAAATCTCTAGGTGAGAAACCAGAATTCATGGGTTCTAGTTCTGGCTGCCATGCTATTTTGCTGGGAGGGCTTGAAGGAAATCACTTATTCTTTTCCCCCAGAGTCTTCCTCAACCTTCCGTGTGTGCAACCAACACAACAAGCTTCAGCAGGGCCAGGTGGGCATAGGTTTCAGGACAAAGCTTGTATCCTGGACAAATTCATTGTCTGCAGGTTGGGTAAGGGTAGAGGGATGGACACACAATCAGAAAGTCACAGGTTGAGGAGGGAAGTGGAGGCCTGGAGGTGCACACAGAAGCACACAGAGAGAGGACTTTACCAGCCTGATGGATCGATGAAGGATTCCTGGTGATTCTAGACAGTATCAGAGCTAAGTAGGAGTCATGTTGGTAAAGACTTGGAAGGGCAGAAGGGCAGCTAGAGCAAAGGTACTGAAGTAGGAGACAGCCTGGTGGGTGAGTGGGGCTCTTGTGTGAGTGAGTAGTGTTAGGAAGTGTTGCTGGATGAAGACACAGGGACAGGGCAGGTGGGGCCTGCAGATCCTGCCCAGATATCCCTCTATAGGCTTTGCGGTCAAAATGCTCTGAAAAGGGAGCACTTCAAAGAGCAATGGCGTCACTAATGCATGTATTTATTTCTAGGTGCATAAATCTGCTTTCATTTGGAGATAAAGAAGTGACTACCAAGGGGAAAGGAGGGCTGGGGGAGGCATAGGAACAATGTCCTCCTTTTGCTGGGTTTTAGCTTGACTTGAAGTGGCCACTAGGCACCGTTGTTCTCTCCCTTTCCACCCTGACCAAGAAGTACAACAAATTCATTAGGACACAGACTTGTTAAGATCTAAAATTGAAGAACAGCCATATATTTACTTAGCAAGACAAATATGTACATTATTTATGCAAGATAATAAGTCACCAATGTATAAAAGCACATATTGCCATTTATTTATAAAGATGAAGGTATGTGCTCATGTTTTACAGATGAGAAATAAGAGACCCAGGCCACGTGGTCCATTAGTGGTGGTACTGGTACTCTGTCTGGGCTTTCTGATTGGACTACATGCTCTCCGCTTTCACCAGCACGATTTACTCTGAGCCCTTTGAGGATTGACCTCCTGGCTGGAGAAGGCAAGTCCAGCATCACTGATACTCAGTGCATGCACTTGCTCTGTGATCTGTAGGGCCTATAAAATAGGGTTTCTCACACAGGCTGCTGCATTCACAGAAAGAGATGTTGGATCTCTGGTTTTAGCATTTATTCTAAAAGCCCCTGTTCTCAGATGAGCACTAATTGGTGACCAGCACTGAACGAGCACACCATGCACCAGGAGTTCTAGAGAGATAGGAGAGATTTTCAGAGGCACTGCTGAACAGGCATTGTGGCTAGGGCAGTAGTTAGGCTGGCTGTAGAGTGCTTTGTTGGTGTCTGGGATGTTGCAGGGAGGGCCATCCATGAGTGTCTGTGACTTGATGTACCCTTAGTTAAAATGGCATCTTTCCCAGATGCTTAGTCTCCAAACAGAAAACAGCCTGAAATCTCATTTCTCAAAGTTTCTGCTACAAAAGTTGTTGCCAGTATATTTGAAGTTTATGGAAAGAATGTTTTTAATCAGCTAAGTGTACTGAACTATGTAAAGTTCCGGGAAGGAATACAGCCCACCAGTGAGGCAGAGAGAAGTGGAAGTCTAGCAAAGACAAATGAAGGACCCCAGACTCAGCATCACTGGAAAGAAGCTACATCCAGTAAGAGGACTGTGATGGGGGCAGATGGTAAAAAAACAAAAAAACAAAAAAAAACAAACAAAAAAAACAAAACAAAACAAAAAAAAACAAGAAAGAAAGAAAGAAAGAAAAAAGGGCCAGCAATCTGTGAGAATGGGACAAATGACATGCAAATAGTCCAAAGAATAACATGTAAATTAGCATCAGATTTCCAAAGAATCTTTAAGTTGGGAGCCTAGAGAGACCATCTCTCCAGATGATGCTACTGAACCCCCCAGAAGGGAAGCGACTCTCCCTAATAGAAACAGCTAACATCAAAGAGAGCTCAAAGGGAGCGAGGCCCTGATTTCAATGGCCCGTGTGAATTAACCCATTTAATTGTCCCAGAAAGGGCATGAAGCGTGAGGCTTCCCCCATATTGGCAGATGGGGCAACGGCTGCTTAGGGAGGTTAAGGTACTTGCCCAGCTCATCTCATTAGTAAGAGGCAAAGCAGGGACCAAACCAGGGCAGTCTAGCTCCCAGCCCATCTTCACAAGCATGTTGCTCCCGGGACATTGCAAACCAGCAGCGGAGCCAAGACTAAAGCCCTGGTGGCCCAGTTTCCTATTCCCGTTCTTTCCCCCATTCTGCTCTCTCCTCCGGCCCAGAAGGTTCTCCTCTCCTCTTGCTGGCCCCAGCATCCTTGTCTGGAATGTTCTTCTCCTACATCTCCTCAGGGCCTGCTCCCTGGATTCCTTTTCTGTCCACCCCAAATAAAATAGCAACACCTCCACCGTCCACAGTGCTGGAACGTCGCACACCCCTCACTTCATTCATAGACGAGACATCCCACCATCTACTTGCTACATATGTGCTCATTTTTGTTTCTGTGGCTCAGTATCTCCTACGAAATGCAAGCTCGTGAAGGCAGCGTCCACACCTTTTTCAATAACATGTCGCTGGTGCCTGGCACATAGGAGCATGCAAAAACCATTTGAGGAAAAAGTAAATGAATAAAATGAAAAATGAGAAAATGGTCAATAATTCCCAGGCCCGAAGCAACGGACTCAGATGCCCTGTGCCACATGGTAAAAGTCATCCCTGGCTGCTTTTACGCAAATGCTACCCAGGAAACCTGAATCCTTCCACTGTGAGCTCCTGGCAAGATTCATTTCTTGAATTGTAATATCATGTCTCTAAGAGTCTTCTATTAAATTGTAGGTACTTCTGAAAGGGAGACTTTATACATGAATTAATTACTAGCCATTAACACTTTTGGATACACTAAAGTGATACATAAACATCATTTTATATATAACAGATCCAAACTAACACAGCTCGCATGGATGGAGCATTTGGAACATGCCAGTCATAGTGCGAGGTACTTTACACATGGCACTAATTGCCAAATATTTCCGGCTCTCTGCCTTCCTGGCACTCATGGGAATAACACTTCCCAGGTCTTTTGTGGTGGGTAGCACCATGTGACTGGCTCTAGACAGACATAAATAGGCCTGTTAACCCACTTATAGGGCTAATGAGAGACCCCTCAGAACTCTCTTTTCCCTTCAGCTCAGCTGCCTTCAAGGAGGGACCTGCTTAGTTAGCCCGAGTCCATGAGTGATGTGATGAGCACAGGACCTTCCCACTCCCCCGACATCCCCAGTGTCTGCACAGCGATCTTCTGAGGTAATGTGTGCAATGATTGCTTTACAGGTAAAGAAGGGGCCGTGCATAATTAAAGGATTTTCACAAGATTTCATGGCTGGCAATGACGGAGCCATGAAGGAAACCAGGTGTGTTTGATGCTAGAGCCTATAACTTTCACCTACATTTACTCTCTCTCTCTCTCTCAAATCTTTATGGGATAAATAAGGATAGAGAGATTAGAATAATTCCATCTGTGGCCTGGAAAACAGAAGCTTCATAAGGCTCTACAGCTCTGGGGAGTCTAGAAGGCACTGGGATCTCGGGGAAATGCTTACAGAAACTGGTGGTATTGGGGAGGAAACTCTATTGAGAATATTGTTTTTTCCCTGTTCATATTTTTGCATGTTGGGGAGAGAGAATCCATGATCTTCGGTTTGATTCTTTCCCATTGCAGACTCATCAGTGAGGAAGCCAGCGCACGTACAGAGATGTCTCACATGCCCCTGGCCTGCCCTTGCTGAGGGTACCCTGATGACTCCAACACCCAAGCCCCTGTTTTCAAGGATCTGCAAGCTGCCCAGTCGATCCCTCTCCTTTCCATTTTTCCTACAGGGAATGGTCGCTACTGCTGAAGATAATTGCTCAACCGTTTGCGCTGAGAGTTATGGAGGGTCAATCTCCACTCCTCCATGTTCTCTTTGTATCCTTTGGCACAAATGGTATGGAAGTGACAGAAAGTTCTGCATCACCTAAGAACAAAACAGGAATTCTTGGGAGGCAGGGGCCTCCTGCACAAAATTTTTCACCCACTGCTAGCATTTAGCTACCTAAATTTTCTACCATTAGAAATCTATTCCTTTGGGTTAAAGCAGATTTCTCCTCTTGCCTAGGATTTGCCCAGACTGTTGTATAAAATCTTATTTTGTCATGCATCCAAATGACTACCCTAACAACTCCTAACAACCACCTCAGCGCTGAGGTCTCACAGTAATAGCCCAAGGAACCCAACAACATAAGGAATGACTATGCTTCCAGGTGTTAAATACCTCGATTTTGAGGATTCAAATGTTCCTTAGGGCCTTCACCTTTTAAGTGTCTTTTCCCCAAAAGAACTCAAGTAGAGTGTTTGTTGTTATTGATGACGAGGAGCAGAATGCCATTTTCTCATGAAGCCTAAGTTCACAAGAATTCTTGCTGTGCTGTACAGAACCCAACTTACCCACTCCACTATCCGTCACAGGCTCTGTGGATTCCCTAAGTTTGGACTGAAATTGCACCGTGAGATGTGTGTTTCTTTCCAGGAGATAAGAGATGGTGGAGGGATGGGGACACTTTTATGGAGAGGGACAGCCATGGATCAATGGAAATGAGAAGATGTGGAAAACGTTGTATCCTGGGAAGAGAGGATTCTAGGAGGTTCTGGGGAAATAAGGCATCAAAATGCAAAGGCACAGATTTTGAGGATAAATATCCAGAACCTCACTTAAAATAGCAAGGTATTATGATGACCCCAAGCAGAGAGGAAAGGCAACACATGAATGTATTTGTAGACTTAACCATGACATAAAATTGTATGGTTTGAGGACCAATTTGTTTTGAATGTCCCTGCTTTTCTTGATCTCTTTACTTACTATCCAAGACCACCTCGTGAAATACTTTGAACCCAGATTCAAGTTGAACATAAAACACAGCCAAGTGTGAAAAAGAGTAACTGCAAAAATCTGAATAAGAAATAATTTAAAGTCACTCAGTGAATGTGTAACCAGAGCAATATGTGAAGGCTCAGCTCACCTGGAAGCCTGGGGCAGAGCGGGGCCGGGGATGAAAGAGAACTGGTCCTGAGTGGCCTGTGTATGCCCAGCACTCTGCAGGGCAGGGGGTGTGTCCCAGAAGAATAGCAGCTTCCTGCTCTGTGTGTGTGTGTGTGTGTTGTGTGACTGACCAAAAACAGGTGCTAGCAGAGTTTTCTCTAGGTTTGCCAGAGAAAAAGCTGGCAGGGATTGATGGTTTATCAGATTGAATGTGATGTTTTACGATAAAGAGAGGAAGAGCTGGGGTCACGCAGACCTGGACTTTGGCATTTATTTACTCCTCCATGAATGGAGGCCAGCCACCAAGACTGACAGAGCCTCAGTTACCTACAAATCAGATGAGGACCGTTGGACTGCTCACACACACTTTCTATAGGCACATAAGTGAATGATATGAGTGAAGTGTCCAACTCACAGTGGACACTCACAAAGTCCCTTTCCTTTCCTAGACAGAGAACTGGAATTCACAGAGACACTGAATCATATGCTGTTTTCTGCGCCCGCTTAGGCTATTGTCCCCTTACCTGGCTAACCTCCTTCTGATCTCTCTGACTCTGGTCTTTGGTCAACCAGTCTCTCAGAAGCCAGAGTGCTTTTACTAAATCTTAAATCTCATTTCAAAACCCTTTTAAAACACTTTTTTAAAAGTATTTTTATTTATTTCTAGGAGAGAGAGAGAGACAGCGTGAGCAGGGGAGGGTCAGAGAGAGAGGGAGACACAGACTCCGAAACAGGCTCCAGGCTCTGAGCTGGCAGTCAGCACAGAGCCCGACGCGGGGCTCGAACCCACGGACCGCGAGATCATGACCTAAACGAAAGTCGGACGCTTAACCGACTAAGCCACCCAGGCGCCCCAAAACCCTTTTAAAACACTTTACTGGCTTCTTGTTCCCATATCCTCACAGGGCTTTGGGAGGCCTCTCATGAATTTGTCCTACTTACTGCCCCACCCCCACCGTTCACTGGCATGAACCCTCTCCCCCGGCCTCCCTCAGGCCATGCACACTCCACCTCCTTCCTGCCCTGCAGTGCACACACAGCCTGCACGTCTCCAAAAGCTCTGCTTTTGCACAATTTATCCCCTCTGCTAGATGATTCCCCACATCTATCTTCCATAGGCCCTTCCTTTCTTTGGATAACTTCTACCCAACCGTTGGAGCTCGGCTTAGATGTTACTTTCAGCTTTCTCTGATCCTCCTAAGTTCTCTTCATTGCACTGTGTGCATACACCTGCCTTAACTTAATATCCCATTAAAACTGCATGCCAACTCATCCTGTTGCAGACTAAGGTTTAAGCCTCTGAGGGCAGGGTCTTTGTCGTGTTCACTACCGTCTCACCAGCTCAGAGAATGGCACAGAATAGATACTCAGTAAATATATTGCTTAACCTTTTAGTTTGAAATGATAGACTCAAAGAAAAGTTGCAAACATAGTACAAATCCCCATATATCTTCCACCCATCTTCATCTTATGTTAACATCTTATAAAATCATTGTAACAACATAACATAACATAAAATCATAGTAAAATTATTGAAACCAAGATGTTATCATTGATCCAATACTCTTAACCTATCTACAGATATTCCTTGAATTTTACTGATTCCTCCCACTGTGAGGCTGTGATTTATAATATGAAATATATACTTGGTTTTCATCCCCATCCCTGGCACAGAGCTCCTAAAACCCATGGAATTTCCTGTAGTGAAAACAGTAAAGGTGCCTTTAGTTATGTGAATGAACTGGTCATTGGAAAGCAGGTCACCTAAGGATGGAGGCTAGTTGCCAAGTGGTTAGAAGGTTCAAACTTTCAGTCCCTGCCCCTCATCTCCAGGGAGGGAAGAGGGGCCAGTGATTGAGTTAAGTCACCAATGGCCAGTAATTTAATCAATTGTGTCTACGTAACGAAGCCTCTGTAAAACCCAAAAGGATGGGGTTGGAGAGCTTTTGGGTTTGCGAGAGCAGAGGTACTAGGAGAGCAGCTGCCCGGAGAGGGCGTGGGAACCCCACACCCCTTTCCCATACCTTGTCCTATGTATCTCTTCCATTTGGCTGTTCCTGCATTATATCCTTTTAAAATAAACTGGTAAATGTAAATAAATGTTTCTCTGAGTTCTGTGAACTACACTAGCAAATGGATGGAACTTCAGGAGGGGATCCTAGGAACCTCCAAACCATAGCCTAACCATCAAAAGCACATACAACAACCTGTACTTGCAGCTGGCATCTGAAATGTGTGGGGTAGGGGTGAGGAGGGCTATGGGTGCCTTATAAGACTGAGCCCTTAACCCGTGGAATCTGATGCTCTCTCCAGGTAGATAGTGTCAGAACTGAGTTAACTGTGTGATGGTGTCCAAAACACACACTGGAATTGGTGTCAGAATCAAACCCACAGGGTCCTTTCCCCACCCAGGAGCCCATCCATTACACTGCACTCAGCTGTAATGTCTCCTCCATCTCCTCTAATCTGAGATATTTCCTTAGTCCTGTTTCGTCTTTTATGACTTCCACACTTTTGAAGAGTTCTGCTCAGTTATTTTATAAAATATGTTTCTCAGTTTGAGTCTGTCTGGCCTTTTCTCAAGGTTAGATGAAGGTGAGGTAATTTTGGCAAGAAGACTACAAGGTGATGCTTTGTCTTCCTCCATGCATCCTGTCAGGCAGTACGTGATCTTCATGTGACTTATCCCTGAGATGTTAATGTTGATCACTTGGTTAAAGTAGGGTCTACCAAGCTTTCTACTGGAAAGTTACTATTTTCCCCTTTGTAATTAACAAGTAGTGTGTGAGGAGATACTTTAAGACCAATAAATACTTTTGAATAAATCAATGAATGTTGGAACAAAGGACTGAATCTGAAAGAAACTTAATTAAAAGAGGTGGAAATATAAGTTCTGAACCTGTCTTCAAAAAATGCAGCAAGAAGGACACAGAAGAGAAGACAAGACAATAAATAAATGAGTCAACAATCACCATCTAAATAATATTGAGAAGAGAGCAAGCCTAGTAATAACATCATCATCTCTTCTTATCTCCTGTTAAATATTTATATTCTATGAGCAATTAAGGAGGTTTCCAAAGGTGAGGTGATTAAACAAATTTTCATCTTACAGTAGAGCCCAGTCTCTGTGGAAGATGCACCCCCACTGTGTAAACAAACTGGAGCCCATTCAGAGACTAAGCTAGTAAATGCTGCTCTGCTGGGAACAACTAGGGGAACAGAATATGCCCAAATCAAAAAGGTAGCACTTAGGGAAATGCAGAGTATTGTCCAAGTCTACTTGGGCTGCCCTCACAGAACACCATGGTCTGGGCACCTCCTACAGCAGACATTTATTTTTTCACACCTCTGGAGGCTGGATGTCTAAGACCATGCTGCAGGTCTGGCTGATTTGGTTCCCAGTGAGGGCTTTCTTCCTGGCTCGCAGACAGCTGTCTGCTAGCTGTGTCCTCAGGTGGCAAAGAGAAAGAGCTCTCTGCTACCTTCTTATGAGGATACTAATCCTATCGGATCAGATCTCCACCCTTATGACTTCATTTGACCTTGATTACCTCTATGAAAGACTCGTCTCCAAAAACATTCTTTTGGGTGGAGATATACTCAATACCCTCAAATACTTTTCAATCCATCACTGTGTAACAAGATGCTAAAGTGGAACATCTCATCATCTCAGTTTCTGTCAAAGCCCCACACTGCATACAATAGGTGTCAACACCCCAAATTTAAAGCAAGGTACTAGTACAAGATATTTTTTCTGCTTGAATTAGCCTATCACCCACCTCCAGATGATAGGGATGATCAGGAACCCATTAGGAGAAGCAACATGTGCAGTTTTTCTAGGGAAAAAACTGTGTGCTGAGGTTCTCCCCTGCTCAGGCCAACCAAGAGGGGCTTCAGAGAACCTCCCAGCAGGTTTGACATACGGCCCTTGGAATGAGGGAGGACTGTGGAGCTGGTATCTGACTCACATTTGGAAGAAAGCCTAGAAGAAAGAGGTTGGGACTTGGTAGTGGGGTGCCTATGTCAGCAGAACAAGGAGAAAGTTGTATTGAAGTGCCCTGGACCAAAGGCCAGACAAAAATATGTGTTTTCCAACATCCAAATATGGTCCCCAAGGGAGAACCCCAGCCATGAAGCAGCTTGAAAATCTATCCAAGGGGACATTGAAGTGTGGAGGGTTGCTGGGTGGGTAACCCCAGCAGAAGAGGATTGAGGTGAGCCACCAGTCCTGGGCTGAGAGAATGTCCTAAGCAGCCAGCTAAAGCAGACAGCATCCACGCCTGAAACTGTCATGGAAAATCCCCAGTGGTGGCAGCTAAGAGGAACCTGGAACTGTCCCCTTGAGAGAAGGAGGAAGTGCTTAGGTTCTCAACGCCCAGGATGCATATGCCAGGTCACATCAAGTAAGGAGGCCTCTCCTCCTACCTCCTTTCTCCCTAAAGGAGCCAGGAAGAGCAGGAGGGGTGAGTAGGCCAGCAGGGGCAAGACAAAGAAGGGAAACAGGTCTCTGTAGGCTTCACAGCCTCAAGCAGCCCTTGAGAGAGGAAGAGAGAGTTTGGTAAAAGATTACACTGGACTTTAAGTACACAGAAAATGCCCAGAACGTTCTATGGGATCTTCAGAAAGGAAAAAGGAATTAAACAGATTAACACATGAGGCACCTGGTGACTCAGTTGGTTAAGTGTCTGACTCTTGGTTTCAGCTCAGGTCGTGATCTCACAGTCTCATGGGTTCGAAGTCCCGTGTCGGGCTCTGGGCTGATGGTGTGGAGCTTGCTT